CCGGCGGCAGCGGGGGTGCGGCGCCCGCGCGCGACCCGCGCGACAAGCGCGACAAGGCTGTCCACGAGCGCGGCCACTGGAACAGCAAGGTGGAGTTCGTGCTGAGCATGGCCGGGGAGATCGTGGGGCTTGGCAACGTCTGGCGCTTCCCCTACCTGTGCTACAAGAACGGAGGAGGTGAGGGCACGCGGCACTGGGGGCAGCGGAGGGAGGCGCGACCAGCCTGGTGGGGGCGGGGAGCGAGGGGGTGTGCGCCAGGCCCCTCCCGCGCCTGCGTGTAGCGGGACCCTCGGGAGACTGCCCGCCCCAGGCCACCGGCGCGTGAGCTGACCCGGGGCCAGGCGCGCCTTCCCAGTGCGCATGCGCACTTCCCGCTTCGCACCTGACTGTGCCGCCTGCTGGCACGCGGGGACTTGCCCACCAGGTGCATTGTGTCCCAGCGTGAGGTGCAGACCGAGACAAGGAGCCCTTGCTTGTGGTAGCTGCACTGCTGTTTGAAACAGGGCAGGAGACAGCCCCTTTCAGCCTTAGCTTTCCCAGCTAGAGACCGGCATCGGGGAAGGGGACTCGAATAATGATCTGAGTAAGCTCGGGTTTTGAGCGCTTGCTGAAATGCCAGGGTGGGTACTAAGCTTTACCTGCGTCATCTCATTTCATCCTTACAGTCATCTTTCTAGGTAGCGCTATACCCGTTTTGCAGATGAGGACACTAAGGGTCAGAGAAGCCACTCACTTAATGAGTGATAAAGATGAGATTCTGACACCAAAGGCCTTGTTTTAAACTGAAATTGGACTGACAACAGGGAGAACTTTTAGGTGAGGCCTGGATTTCCTGCCCAGGCTTTCATTTGCTCTTAAGGCCCCTTCTAGGGCCTCTTTTCGGGTCTCTCCGGTGGAAGAATTGGCCCCCAGCAGTTTTTTTTGCTGGTCTCAGTCACCCACAACGAATAGCAACAACACTGATTTAATGTTTAGGAAATGCTCAGAGATTGGGGGGCGGGGTGGACGACGACAGGGAAAGAAAGGTGATGAAAGAGTCATGTCTAGTGACCACATGTCCAAGTCAGTTTGGTGGAGATGCAGCAGTGAATCCTCAGATCTCCCAGCTCAAGGAAGGCGCTCCAGACTTCATGAGCCCCCGCCTGTTGTCTTCAGCAAGACAGCCAGCGGGTCCAGGGCAAGGGACCTTGTCAAACCTTCTTGGGTGGCACGGTTTCTCCAAGAAAAAGCCTTTTCTATGTATTCCTCCCTCCCTTTGCTGTGCCCCTGCCCCTCCAGCAGATCCCCAGACCCCAGTGAAGGTGGCTCAGAAGTTGGCTGGCAGGGCCCATGCTGTTAGCCTGTGTAGAGCAGGACTTCCTGTGCGAGCAGCTGCAGGGAGAGCGAGAAGAGTACTGCTTGGCCCAGGCCATTTCTTTGGAGACATTCATCCTGAAGGCACAGGCTGCTCCAAGCCTGCTCTGCACTGGTAATGAAGTGGCCACCGGTGTTGGTGGCTTGGCAAGGGGGAGAGAGGGAGTGGACTCGGAGACCCCAGACGTGCCCTGTGCCCTCGGCTGCGAATCCCGCCTCTCTTTGCAGATTCAGCCTTCATAAGCAGCCGTGTCTGCTTAGAAACCTGTGGAAACCCTTTAGGGTAGTCCCTGGAAAAAATTGTTTTAAGATCTTTTTTTATCCGGGAAATTGTTATGCCAAAACAAAAAGCATTCCTAAAAGCAAAAAACACAGTAAGTTGGGTTAATTACAAATTCTGCCACAGATTTAAAAAAAAAATGGTTGGAGCGAGTAAAGTTTAAAAATGAGTCATTCTTTTTTTCTTTCTTACTCGAACTTGCCAAGAGTCTCCATTGGGTACACAGATTTCCTGGTTGACTTGAGCTAGTTATCTTCAGGATTGCTGGCTTTGAATACACAGGCCAAAAGGCTTTCAGGAAGTGTCATCTGTTATGTACTAAAGGATTCGCAGGTAAATTACAACATATTAGAGATCCTGCTGTGGCTTGTTTTAATCACTTAGATTTAGATACAGCACACAGACCCTCTTATCCCCTTTCACACACTTTTTGCCTTCTAATGTAGTTGGGATATCTGCTTATCGACTGTTTACTTTAAAAAAAATATCTATACAGCTCTACTCATAGATCCCAACAATAGTTTAAAGTCTTTCTTTCCCAAGATGAAACTTTAAAAGTAGTCTCTGGCCCAGGAAAGCTAACAGACTTTCGAAACCTGGTAGATATGGTCCTGCTATCAGGATTGATCAAAATTGTTGCTATTAATCCTGCGGGTAAGAGACTTCATTTAGCAAAAAGCAATTTCAGTTAAGCCTTCATTTGTGAGATCAGCTGGCAAGGAAGAGCCTGTGTTTCCATGCTTTGTTATTAGATGGGAGAGAGAAGGAGGGATTTGGAAAAATTCCTTTCTGGTTGTAATAGCTCATGTTCACCTCAGTTATTTAATTTGTTTCACAGAAAGGCCCAGGCAATGGATTGTATTTCAAGATAGGAGCACTAAAGCTTGCGATGCTCTTTTCTCAGATTGATTCAACGCTAGCCTTTCTGGACAGATTCTTGCTGCAAACTCCTTATAACTCACCTCCATATCTGAGGCTCGTTGTATCGGGGCCTGATACTGCTCATTGCATATCTCCTTAAGAATGCTTTTCTTTATGAAAAAGATATTTTGCAGTTCACTTCCAAAGTAAATATGAAGAAGAGGTTCCCCTCACCTGGCCTGTTGAAGTTGCTTTAGAATAAAAAAGGAGGATGCAACATTCAGGGAGGGAGTGGATTTGACCTGTGCAGGGGGCGACATGTGTAAATAAAAGAATCAGGCAAATAAAACACTTTATTTTACATTATCATCTTAGCTGCGTCTCAACGATTCTATGACATAAATGGTGCAGATGTTAAGTCTTAAAGCCCCATTTTACAGATGAAGACGTGGAGGCTGGGAGATATGACGTAGACTTACTCAAGGCGTAATAGGCGGAGGAGAGTACAACCCCAGGGCTGTGGGGGCTGACTCCGGCCCTCATAGTGTGAACTTGAACACACGCTCAGGAAACGTTATGTCTTGCCTGTAGTGGGTGCTTATTAAAGATTTCTTGTGCTGAACGTGAAGTGGTGGGGGCAATTTTAACCTACTTCCTTTATTCTGCATCCTTTCAGGAGCGTTCCTGATTCCCTACGTGGTGTTTTTTGTTTGCTGTGGAATTCCTGTTTTTTTCCTGGAAACAGCTCTGGGACAGTTCACGAGTGAAGGTGGCATTACATGTTGGAGAAAAGTTTGCCCTTTATTTGAAGGTGAGTGTTGAGTTAATTGGAAAATAAAATGATGCCCAGGTGATGTCAGGCTGTGAAGAGTCGTTGAGACTGTTTTAACGAGGTGGAGAGAGACTCAAATCGCTCCCTTCCTTTGCTCTTTCAGGCATTGGCTACGCGACACAGGTGATCGAGGCCCATCTAAACGTGTACTACATCATTATCCTGGCGTGGGCCATTTTCTACCTGAGCAATTGCTTCACCACCGAGCTCCCCTGGGCCACCTGTGGGCACGAGTGGAACACAGGTATGGCCCCCAGGGAGGGTGTCTCTGCTGGTCCTGCTGGGGGCCTGGCATTGGGGGTGTGTCCTTGTCCTGGAGACCAGTCCCGGCCTCTGGCCTCTTGCCATGAGTCCAGATTCCACTGAAACTGGAGATCGGCTCTGCACTGGGTCTGCGTACATTCTGTGGGTCTCAGCCCTGAAGCCTGAGCTGAGCCCTGGCCCATGAATTGGCATGAGTGGAAGAATGGTGATGCTCTTTCCTCGCTTTGCCAAATATGGAGGCTGAGCCCTTTGGGGGCAGAGTGGAGGTGTGAGAGGTCCGGGCTCCAATTCCAGCCGTACCTCTCTAGTGTCAGGTTTTCCTCTGAGATGAAGGGGTTAGACTAGGTCAAGGGTCACAGACAGGGGGCCTATTGGCCAATTAGGCTTTAGATCAGTGACCAGCAAATTTCAAAAATGTATTTGGTTGCCAAAATTGAAAAACCAGAAGACTACGTGAAAATCCAGACTTCTAGCTTCTCTTGAAAAGTTAAAAATATCTGGCAACACCAGACCCACGTTCCCACGTTCTTGCTTGACAGCAATTGCTGCAGCTGAGAAGTGGCTATTGCCTTTGGGTGAGGCATCTATCCTCAAATTGACCACAGTCCCCACCCACATCACTTCGCTCATTAACTTTACCTGTCCAACCCGGGTAAATATTTGAATTCACCACCCCCACCCCACCTCCTTGAATGGATAACTTTTTAGATTACTTCTGATTCTATGTACTGTTTGCTTTTCAATTTGTCCTCCTATCAGGATTGAGTCTTATGATCTAGGGAAGACAAATATGTGCCAACCCCATCTATGCTATGCTCTGTGCTCAGAGCAGACATCACTAATCAATTGTAGAACTCGGTCCTTTTGAGTCTGGTCTTGGCCTTAGAACCCTTCTCAGCAGTGCTGTAGGCATCCACTGCCTTTCGATGGGGACTGGCACACACGCTTTAAGCTATTTACCATCCATGTTGTTATCTGTGGTTAGGTTGTCCCTGGAAGTGACCTGTCATCCTGAAGGCTGAGCTACAGTAAGGCTGGGTAGGATGTTTGTCACCAGCAGAAGGGACAGCAGGCATTAGGCCTAGAGAGTGCTGTGAACTAGCCTCCAGCCCTGCCTGACTTTGCCCTGCTCCCCCACCCATCACATTTTGTGGAAGTCTCACTGTCTCTCTTTAGGGCCTGTCTCTTAACCTTTCTTTGGCCAGCGACCTCATAGAGATGTTTATTAAACTGAAATTCAAGGACATATTCTTGGAGGCCTGTGAGTTGTCCATGATAATTTGTGTTTGTTTATTCTGAGGCTGCTCTAAAAATATGCACACGTTCTGGATTGTCTGCACAGCCACCTTCTAACTGAGGACAGTCAGGAGATTTCAGTGCCTGACTTTGTGCGTGGTTACAGTTAAAGGTGCGTCCTTAGTAAATAGGATGATGGCAGCCCAGGGAAAAAGCAGAGAGATTTAATTCATAAATGAGGCATTCGTACCAATTGAGGTCCGGTTGAGAACGCAGCAAACCGTAGCAATGAAGGTTTCGCAACGGTGTGAACAGAGAACAGTTGGTGGGATTGAGCCTCAAACAGCCCGTGGGGTTCAGGCAAGCTGAACTCACTGGCCCTGCCCTACCCAGCAGCTCCGTTTTTCTGTTGGGAAATCCACCTAATTTCGCAGACTGGCATTATCTTTCCCATCCATTTTATGCTGTCAGTTTGAATTGTATTGGGTCCATAGATTAGTCGATATTTAATTTGTAGATTTAGTTCTGGTTTTATAGTTGTGTGACTACTACAATCACAAAGACTTTATAACTCATTGTTTATTCGTACATGATTAAATATCATTTTAATAAAAATGCCTTGTCAACCTTGGGTGTCTGAGAAATTTTTTTACTCTAGAAAAAACATTTGAGAAACACTATTTGAGAGAATCTGATCAATGCTGAGGGCTCTTCACCCCAGAAGAAGGCACAAGGGCACCTCTGACGTTCTGCCTATAATATCAGGTTTCCAGACTCCTGTCAGAACTGGGGGCCCCACAGACCACCTGCTTCCAGAGTGTGGTTAGCACTTGCCCAGAGGAGTGGGAAGGAGGCAGACCGTCGGGGGGACTGTCCCCAGCCAACTGCAAACCTTTCTTCCACTGATTTGCGCTCCCCTTTCTCTAAAGGCATATGAACACTTGAGATGGGTGAAACATCACGTACAGGAGGTGCTTCCTGCTCCAGAGATCACAGGTGTGGTTTGGAGGGTTCGTACACACGTGAGAAGAGAGAGATGCCAGGGTGAGGCTGAACACGGGCTCCGTGCTGGCCACTGTGCTGGGCGCAGCCGCTCGGAAGTGAATGGGTGCAGGAGGCCCTGCCCACGGGGAGCGCTGTAAACAGAGGAGTGCTGTAAAGAGGCACGGGTCCGCTGGGCCGACAGCGCTGGACAATAACCATGGCAAAGGAGATGGAGACTTGGCTGGGGTTGATTCCCAGTTCTGTCCCTAACTGGCTGGTGACTTGTAGAGGAGGGAGAGGGTGTGGATGGAGGCCCCTTGACTATTTCTGCACCTTAGATTCCTCCTCTTCAAAATAAAGGGAGTTGGAGAAGGTGGTCCTTTGGAGGACCTTTAAATTCTAACATTCTTAGAATTCAGGGGAGGGAGATCGGGAAGGCTTCCTGGAGGAGGGAGGGACTAATGGGTTGATCTGAGCCTTAAAGGGTGAACACTTGGATATTTTTACTTGAGATTCAAATCTCGCTTGGTCATCAAGTTTTGTGAAATGAGACATTCGCTAGACCTTCCTTGGACTGATTGATGGAGCAAGGGAATGGTGAGGAAACGAGGGGTTCTTCACACATGCAGGCTCACGTTGTTTCATCCAGTCATCACGTCTTTAGGAGGCAGCTGTGAGATCAGCCTCTTTTTACGTGAAGGAAAACCGAGTCTCAACTGCATCACTGCCCTAAGGATGCCATGACTGATCCACTGCTTTAGTTCCCCCGTTCCTGTGGGGCTGCTGAGCGGGGCAGGTGGATGCCACAGGCAGGCCTTAGGTGGGGAAGTGGGAAAGGAAAGGAGATTTGGGAACAAGGTGGGAGGAAAGAGTGACAGGGCACGTGGAGTGGGAACGAGAGAGGAAGGCCCTGCCCCCAACACTTGTCCTCCTGTTGGAATGAGGCCAAGCCTCTCTTACACTGTTTGGAGTCACTGATCCCCCCACTGCCCTTTGAGGTGTGTTGACTTGGAGTGGCTGGGTGAAAGGCCTGGTTGCACCGTCAGCTCTGACGTTTTCCAAGATCAGCCCCGCGGAGGTTAATCTTGTTATCTCTTGTCTTGTTTTCCCTGTAGAGAATTGCACGGAATTCCAGAAACTGAACGTGAGCAACCACAGCCACGTGTCCCTGCAGAGCGCCACCTCTCCCGTCATGGAGTTTTGGGAGTAAGTGGAAAATGACTTGTCTCCCTTGGCCGGGGGGCTCTGTCCTGGTTCTGCTCAGTTAACGTTGCTCCCACCCCTGGAAAAAGCCTGACTCTTCCTTCCTCCAGCCTCTCACTTCCTGGCTTCTGTGGGCTTTTGACTGCTTTGGAAGCCAGTGGAAATCTTGAGAGGTTTCCCACAGGAGCTGCTGAGAGAAATGCTTTCTTACTCTTTGACGACATGTCAGCATGCCTAGTTGCTTGTTAGGGCAAGAAGTGCTTGGTAAAATGATGGACAGTTTAAAAGTTCATTTTTGACAAAAGAGAAGCTACAGCATGTTTGCAATGAGCTAAGTCAAAAGTGTATTTAGCCTGGAAGGCAGAAGTCTCCCGGGGGGACAGGTTAGCTTGCTTTCAGTAGCTGAAGTGTCATGCAGAAGGGAAGTAAATCAACTTTAATGGATAGAGGTTATAAAGAGGCAGGTTTCACACGTGCTTAAGGAAGAGCTTAGACTCACTCCGAGGGTCGTGATCACCCACCTTGGGAAGTGTTTGGCCAGTGTAAGGCTGCTGATCGTCATTGGGGAATCCGCTGACATCATGGGCAGCCATTGTGTGGATGGGCGTTTTCTCAGAGATGGCATTTTTCATCAGTGTTCCAAAGGGGCCTATGACCTAGGAGTTACAGGGCTGCCACATATTGTTGTATAAGTTGTTCACTGCACAACCCTAGGGGGCATCATTTGCATTGTGAAATGTGCACTCCAGAATTGTGCAGTGCCAACCTGTATAACTGTACACAGTGGCCCTGACTTAGGAGCTTCTCTGTAGAGGTGGGAGGCTTCCTTGCTCCAGGTGTTGGAGAGAAGTTTCCCCTGTGGGTCAAAGGTTGGACTAAAGGCTCTCAGCCTTTTCAATATGAAAGGTCTGGCTTCATTGAAGAACATCCCCTACCCTAATCCCTAATGCTGGTTAACATTAGTATAGGGGACAGTGGTTTTATGAGTGATTTTTATTCTTTTCCCAGATACCATTCCTCTCCTTCTCTCTCTAGAGGCCATTGTGCTGAATTTAGATTGATCATTCTCATGTTTATAGTGGATATATATAAAATAGTTCTCTCTATATATATACACACACACATTTTATATATATATAATACATTATATAGTATTTATAATACATTACATATAATATATATAATGCATTAATGTATATAGTACATTAATTATTATATGTATACATTGATAATGGATATAACAGTATATATGTGTATAATATATGCATCTTCAGTCATGCACATCAGGATGTTTTGGTCAATGCAGATGGCATATACAACAGTGGTCCCATAAGATTAGTACCATATAGCCCATGTGCAGTAGGCTATACCATCTAGGTCTGTGTAAGTCCTGTAGGGGAGGAAGAAATTTTCCTCTACCCTTCTAGGTTCTTCTGGCTGATCTAAGAATTAAATTGACATGAGACAGATTGATAGAAAAACAAACAAAAGTTTAATACCATGTATAAATGGGAGAAACTCAGGAAAATTAAGTAACTCCCAAAATGGCCAAAGCCCTCGCCTTAAATACTATTCTCAGCTAAAGACAAAAGAAGGTGTTAGAGGTGGGGAGAGTCAGGGACTTCAAAGGGAAGATGGCGATTCACAAGTAGGTGAAAAGGAGCAAACGTTTGGAAAACAGGTGTTTGGCCACACAGAAACAGAAGAACACAGAGGGGCCCAACAAAGAGGCTTTTCTAGGTTCCTCCCTGTCTACTACCAAGTTCATATGATGCTAAGGTGATAGCTCGCTTCCTGAGACAGGTTTTCTTTTTTTAAGATTTTTTTTTTTTTTTGAGGAAGATTGGCCCTGCGCTAACATCTGTTGCCAATCTTCCTCTTTTTCTTTTTTCTCCCGAAAGCCCCAGTACGTAGTTGTGTATCATAGTTGTAGAGTTGTAGCTCTTCTGTGTGGGATGCCACCTCAGCATGGCTTGAGGATTGGTGAGTAGGTCTGCGCCCAGGATCCGAACCTGCGAACCCTGGGCCACCAAAGCAGGGCACTCGAACTTAACCACTGCGCCACTGGCTGGCCCTAAGACAGGTTTTTTAAAATCTAAATTCTTTTAGGCAGTTAAGAGGGAGGTAACAAGAAAAAGTTTCTGAATCTTTTGTTTCTTAAAAATAATTGGCCTAAAATCACCCTCATGTTAAAGAGGCACATTCTGGGGTGACAAATTTTGTTACCGTTCAGTGCACTCTATGATGTTTGCACAATGACGAATCACCTAATGACGCATTTCTCAGAACGTATTCCTGTCGTTAAGCAATGCATGACCCTGTAAGTGTGTGTGTAGATAGATGTCCTCAAATAGCACCCAGATCTTTCTTGCATGTTGTAAAGTTTTATGTTGATGGTATCCATTACTTACATTTTTTTACAACTTTGTTTCTTTGCTCAACATTGGTTTTGAGATGTCTCCACATTGATATGTGTACTTTGGTTCACTTATTTGTTCCTTCTGTATAGTATTTCAGTGTGTAAATAGACAACACTGTATCAGCCAGCTCCTCTTGATGGGCATTTAGACTCTCTCCTGTTTCCCACTGTTATTAAGCACACTGGGTGAATGTCCTGTCTGTGCTTTCCTGTGTGAGTGAATGAAGGTTTCTAGGTTGTATACTTAAGAATAGAATTGCTGAGGGCAGGCGCCATGGCATAGTGGTTAAGTGCACGTGCTCCACTGCTGGCAGCCCGGGTTTGGATCCCGGGCGCGCACCGACGCACCGCTTGTCAGGCCATCTTGTGGCAGCGTCCCACATAAAGTGGAGGAAGATGGGCACGGATGTTAGCTCAGGGCCAGTCTTCCTCAGCGAAAAAAGGTGGATTCGCAGAGGTTAGCACTGAGAAGATCTCCTCACAAAAAAAAAAAAGTGAAATTGCTGAATGGTAGGGTGCATGCATTATCAGTTTTATCAGATAATGTCAAATTGCTTTCTAAAAGGATTGTTCTTATTTACTCTCCGAACAAGAATGTGCGAGAATTTCTGCTGCTCTATATTCTAGACAGCACTTGGTCTGGTCAGGGTTTTTAAGTTTTGCCAGTGTAATGGGTGTGAAACTGTATCCCACTATTTTACATTTGCATCCCTCTAATTACTTGTGAGGTTGAGCATCTTCATGTTTTTTCCTCTGTTTGGGTTCCTCATCTGTGAACTTCCTATTCATATCCTTTTCTCTTTGGATTGTGTGTCTTTTCTCATAGGTAGGAATTCTTGATACATTCTAGATATTAGTTTCTTGATACATTCTAGATATTAGTGTTTTTGCTGCAAATAACTTTTCCTAGTGTGTGGCTTTTCTTTTTATTTATGGCATACAGGAATTTCAGTTTTATTTAAGTCAAATTTGCCAGTCTATTCTTTTTGGTTTGCACAGTTGGTGTCTTATTTAAGATATATTTCCCTACCCCAAAGTTGTGAAAATTTTCTATATTTTCTTCTAAGAGTTCTAAAGTTTTATATTTTCACATTTAGGAATATAATCTACCTGGAATTTTGTTTTTGCATATGGTACAAGGTAGGGATCTCGTTTTATTTTTTATAAAAATAACCAATTTTTCCAGCAGTGTTTGCTGAATTGTTCATCATTTCCCTACTGATTTGTAATGCCATCTTCCGTATATAGTTTTCCTAAAAGCACAGGTCTGTTTTGGGGCTCTCTGTTCTGTATTGGTCTCTTTGGCTAATTGTGTGTCAATACCCCACTTATAGTTTTATTGTAAGCCTTGAGTTGGTAAGGCAAGTCCCTCACTTTGTGCTTTTCCAAAGTTGTCTTCCAAATGAATTTTAGAATCAGCTTGTCAAGTTAAACAATAATAAAGAACAAAACAACTCCACGGGGATTTTGATTGGAAGTATATTGAATGTATAGGTTAATTTGAGCAAAACTGACATCTTGATGATTGAGCCTCTCTGCCTGTGAATATGGTGTAGTTCTCCATTTATTTAGGTCTTTTTAAATGCCTCATAGAGTAGTGCTACTTAAATGTGGTCGGCAGAGCAGCAGCACTAGCAGCACCTGGTTAGAAATGCAAATTCTCCAGCCCTCCCCAGACCTACTGAGTCACAGTCTCAAATAGAGCATCCAGAGGATGTGTGCCGGAGAGGAGGGTGCTGTGGTGGGAGGGCCTTTGTGGCCATGGTTTCCCAGAGGAATGTCACAGAGACTTGTTTGAGACCTGCACACTGGAGGCTCTGCAAAACATGGTCTCTGTGCTCCGTTAAAGAACCAATCCTGGAACCCCACACTGGGCAGTCTCTGTGTAACTTACTATTGTTTTGCACCATTTATTTCCTTTGTGACATATATGGAAAACCTCAAATCGTTATTTGTGCGATATGTGTGTTTCTTGTCTGTGTTTCCCACTAGACAGTCATGAAGCTGCACCTCGTCTGGCTTTACTCACTACTGCTGGTCTATGAAAGGCCCTCCACTGAATATTTACAGAATGGATAGATATGTGGGAGGAAGGCAGGCGGGCAGTATTTTCTAGAAAGTACTACATGAGAAGAGTCAAAGTGGGCTCTGGCAAGAACCCATCCTGTCACTAAGCTCCCCAGCTGACAGCGTTGGTTGCTTCCAGGATCCCTCTGCAATATCTATATCAGCATTTATTTGGACACAAGTGGTGTGAGGGGCAGTTAGTCTCCCACCTCATGTGTAACTGGACCTTTTGGCCTGCTGCTCGGCCACTGAAGATGCAAGTCCATGGGTGAATAAACCCATGGTTCTAGTTTTCTGTTCCGATGGCATCTGTACCTTCTGTGCAGAGTTGAATTCTGCATCCTGAAATACTCGGTTACTGGCGGGACGCCCCTGCATACTGTGCTTCTGTCAGACGACTCTAATTCATCTTTCCCCAGGGGTGAGCTTGGGAGGTGGAGCCTGTGTGAGATGTCATAGCATCCTGTGAAAAACTGTTGGGGCCACATAAATTGGAGAAGGGCTGAAAACTGCGCTC